CTTGATTTTGGGATCATACAGTTTGTTTATAATTGTCCGAAAATCATCGATTGAGTGAGAAAGAAGCATCATCCTCCATCACCCTAGAAGCATACAAATTGACTTGATCAGTTTCAGTTGCAGAAAATGGATCTTGATCATCAATATCAATGGTAGATTCTCTCAATTGTTCAATCTTTTCCACCACATCATTCAACCCTATTCTTCTCTCTTCATCTTCCTCACAACAACTCAATCCAATCTTCAATAGATTTATCATTTCACCTTTACTATGTTTTGTTCCTCTCATTTCCCCATCAAAAACTTCACTTGTTCGTTTTTCTTTAACCATTGAACTTACCCAAGTAGCTAAACTTGCATTACTATCATACCCTTGTGTTAGATAGTTTTCTGGGAATTTTCCTGTCAACAATTCCAAAATCAGAATTCCAAGACACCATACGTCTGTTTTCCTGGATATGCTTCCAGTCTGTGCATATTCTGGTGATTTGTAAGCAGCCATGATTGAGTGAGCATGATCAGCATTCATTACAGGCCTTAAAGCATAATCTGTCAAAACTGCTTCTAGGGTTTCATCCAGGAGCACATTAGAAGACTTCAAATGACCATGGGGAATGGTCAATGATGGCAGCTCACTGTATAAGTAAGCCAAACCCCTTGCTACTCCTTTTATGATTTTTAATCGAGTCATCCAGTCCAATCCTGGTTGGTCCAAGCTGTGATTTGCTGTAACACATTCCTCACATATCTTAGATTTCTTAATTACAAAATTAATCCAAATATTTTAAGAATAAAGATGACTTGATATATATATGTGTGTGTGTATAAACAGATACATAGACTTCAAAAATTTTGGTTTTCATGATTCTCTAACAAAGATTTGCTTTCTTGGTATAGAAGAAGAACTCTTATTACAGTATAAAAAAATTCACTAAAAATTTCGATTTGAGATAATTTTATGAATTCAAATATTAAACTAGAATGAAAGAAATTTAAATTTTATTACAACATAACTCATAATTTAATATTAAATTTTCTGTTATCTTTATATTTGCGATATTTATTAATTTATCAGTATTCTTAAAATATATAATAATTACTCTGTTTAGTATCATATTATAACTAATTATATATGATAATAAAAAAGTATGAGAGAAAGGCATGCACATACCATGGAGGTGATTGGCAAGGCTATTATTATGAACAAACTCAGTAATCAACAACTTCTCTTCTCTCCTATAGTAGTATGCAACAAGAGGTAAAACATTTGGATGTTTCAAATTCCCAAGTCTTCTCATGTGCTCATGAAATTCTTCTCTCCCAACTGTATTCATTTGCTTATACCTTTTCACAACCAAAGTTTGTCCACTCATTATCACTGCCTTGTATGAAGCTCCAAAAGTTCCACTTCCCAAAACTTCAGCAGATGCTCTCAACATGTCTTGTAAATCAAATTTCTCGATATCATCTCGTACGAAAGAAAGTTTCCCTGCATCATCTCTCCTTCTAGAGTGACTTGTAACTTCAGGGGCTAACTTATGGGATGACTGATCTGTTTGTCTAGCAATGCTTGGTAATTTTCTTCTTGAACCTTCCATCAGTGATGCCTCATAATATTGTGCTTCAGATTTTTGTTTCCTCCATTGGAATATAAACAGTGCCACCGCAATTAGAGCTAGTATTAACCCTACAACTATTGCAATAATGGCAACTCTCAAGAGTAAAGGAACTACATTGTTTATTGGAGGAGCATTTGGTGGGGGGCTATTAGTTATGGGTTCTGGTATAGATTGGCATGGATCCAAAGGAGATCCACATAAGTTTTTGTTGCCTGCATAGAGAGAAAGTTTCTTAATTAATTGCATGTTTCATTTCTTTATGAGAATCAATGTCAAACTTATAATGGGTATTATTTGAACAAAACCATCATATCATATACATATATATGCATATCTAGGTGATGTCTTAACATTGCAACATAAAAATATGTGATTATTGAACTCTATATTAGAATTTAAGTTTACACACTATTAATAATTTAATGTTAAATTTTTGAGAACCAATAATTTGAGTTCTAAAAATTATTGGGTTAGTGGTACTTGGGAAATGTTACAATATGTATGCATAACAAGCAACCAAAAAGTATGTAGCATGACGTTTGAAGCATGATAATTCGAGTTTGAATCATGTTATGTCTTGATGATTGTGATGCATGATAATTCTTTGCTCAATAAAAAAAGGAGAATATTAAGAAAGAGATGATACCTGCAAATGAGGTTGGATCCATTGAGCTTAGGCTTTGAGGGATTGGACCCTCTAAATCATTGTTAGAAAAACTAGCCAACTTGAGATCAGCCTGTTGAAAATCTGGTATGCGTCCTTGAAATTGATTGCCATTAAGTCTCACTTCTAAAAGCCTAGGTAAGTTAGCTAAGGAAGAAGGAATTGGACCCGAAAAGCCATTATTTGCCAATAAAACTTTCTTCAAATTTGACATACCCAGAAATGCATCATCAGGAATCACCCCCGAAAATCGATTATTTGATAGAAATAAAGATTTCAGTCCATTCAATTTGTTTATCTTAGGTATTGGACCCTGTAAATGATTGTTCATAAGACTTATTGTACGCAAATACCTCATTGAAGCAAGCGAGTCTACATCTATAGTTCCATTTAGCCCCATGCCTTCGAGCTGTAAACCCCATATGGTTCCACCATAACAAAGTACACCAATCCAATTTGGTGTGTTTCCATTACAAGGACTTGTGGAGGAATTCCAAGTTGTAAGAGCGAATGAGTTATTCGCTATAGTATTTTTAAATTTCAAAAGAGCATCTGAATCAGAATCTCCATTCGACATAAGTGCGAAATATGATAATATTATATCAATTATAAAATATAAAAAAACTAATGTTGTAGATGGTGTGCGCACAAGCCTAGCTACGTGCGCACCCATTAGCAAAATACAGTTTGTAATGCTAAGGCAATGGTTAAATAATCACTGAAAACTTGATGGATTACAAGATTTAAGAGCATGAGGAAATATTTTCCTTCTTGGTAATTTTCTGGGAAAACAAGAATGGAAGTACGAGAAGAAAGGTAGGCATAAAATGGCAGGAATGGATGGAGGGTTGGAAAAACAACAGGCAGAAAAATATTTTGTTGAAACCGATTAATGTTTTGTTCTTTGCTTTGTAATTACAAATGAAAGAAACATGTGGTTTGGAGATTGGTGTCTGCAACAGAGATATCCAAGGTTAACCATTGAATTTTTATATATGATATCTATATTATCTATATATACTTATATATATATATATTTATTTATTATAAAAGAGGTGGATTGCTTGGTTCTTATAACCATATATAGTTCACCACTAATGTTATCCTATCCAGATATATATAGTGAATATTCTTATCATAAATTAACCTCGCCATGACAGCATTCTTCCCATGAAAATATTATAAATGAATTTACACGAATTCCATTTTCATGCTTAAATATATGCTTACAATTTTTTTAATAATAAAAACTATTTGAGAAAGCAAATTTTATTGAAGAACTTTATTAACCACCTAATTAAATACCAATTCTATATTAGAACAAGTAATTAAACCTCACTTTTATTGTCTTAATTACAGCAAAATTTTTGTTGTAAAAACATAAAACGAAATAAATTTACAAGTAACTATAAACATCCAATAATCACAATGTTTTAGCAACTGATTTTTGTAAATAAGATATCATAATTCCTAATTGATGAATATTAAAGAAAAAAAAAAAAAACTCTTTTTTAGCATCAAAACAAATGTCGTTACGAAAAAATGAAAATAAATGTGATAGATTTTATTACTATGAGTATAGTTGTTGTCTTATTATCAGTTTTATATAGCTGTCACGTAAAGATTCAGTAAAAAAATTGTTGCATCAAAAGATGTACATTGATTTGCTAATTGTATAAATATTATTCTAGTTCACGGGTGTACAATTTCTATTTTTAGTTTGTTTATGTGGAATAGAAGTTTGGTATAGATAAGTTGAAGCACATATGATATTAAGTGAGATACACTTTGGAGGAAGCCAAAATTTTTTTAACCTTTTTGTTTTTATTTTCTTTATTTCTATTCATTTTCATAACATTATTTTTAATTATTTTTATTTTTTTAATCAAAATTGTAGTATTATTTAGAACTTTGAGCTCATAACATTGTGGTTGCTAACACTAGTTTGTATATCAAAATTAATATTGTTAGAATAGAGATTAAAATGATGATGACTAACTTTTTAAATATTTTTTATTGAATTGACCATTCTTTATCTTGAAACGTGCTTCCTTCACATGAAAACTCGCCATATTTACTTATTTTTTATTCTAAAAATATTTTATAAATAATTAAAATTTAATAATAAATCTATAAGTATAATGAAAACAAGTTGTAAGTTAAAAATGTATATTCTATTTAATTACAAGAGAATAAAATTATTTTATAAAATATTTTGATACGAAAGAAAATTAATTTAAAAAATTTAAAATAAAAGTAGAGATATATTAATCATACATATGGAAATGAGGATGGGTTAGGGGTGAGGCGAGTATGCTACCTAAGTTATATATACTCCATATTCATTATTGAGTTATAATTTTTTTACCCTCACTCGTTCTATAACTTGTTATTTGTAGATGTTTGTATATCCCTTGTGGTGGATTAGATGGTAACCCGTTCCTCTACCCATCTCAACCTAACTCTTCTCCTCCTCTTCTTTTATTATTATTTTTTTTCCTTTTGATCCACGATCCTTTGACATATATTTTTTTTCTTTCGCTTTCTTATAATCCCAAATTATTGTCAATTGATCTCCACTCCAACATTGGCACGACCTCGAGCTTTTATCATTATTCATTTATTATTGTTGATTAATAGTCAAAACACTCTCGTCTCCATTGAATGCCTTGACGTCGTAGAAACACATTATTAACTTTTGTTTTCAAAACCTATTGATCTTTCCCCATTTTTTAATTATTTATGAATCTTTTAATTTTTAATTATTATATAATTGTGTTACTTATTAATCATCTCAATTATGTGATAATTACAAAAATGCACGTAATATAATTTCAATCAGATACAAATTAAAAAGTATCAACTTTATTTACAACCGAATTAAATATAATGGTGATATTTCTAGTTATGAACCAAAGAACAAAATACAGTCACATTCTATTATTGTCTTGTTCTTATTTATTTATTATTATTATTATTATTATTATTTTTTTGTGAATGAATAGGAGGGGATATTTAGTCAAAGCTCAAGTACACCCACGTTTTCCAAACTTATAGCTTCTGGGTATCTTGTTTTCAAATTTTAATTTTTTAACATAAAAGAAAATTCTAAGGCATATCTTATGAAATTAATTCAATTTTTTGTACTAATTTTAGTCGTGGGTCACGCCACAGAAATGTTGACCACGTTTCTATATAACAAATATCTCTTGCCTAATTTTGTAGTTTATAATTATTATATATACATGTGTGCATATATATAAATATATATATATTATCTTTAAGTGTATTTTCCACAAAGAAACCAACAATTTCAATGGTCATGGTCCATGGTGGCGTACTGATGCGTAATCCTTGTCACACGAGTCTTATATATACATTTACTCTTAGTCTATGCTTTTTTTTTTCCTTTTTGTAATAGTATAAAAAGTATATTATACTTTATTTGAAAATTTATATTTAATTAATTTAGAAGGTGTGTAATTTTTATTAGAAAAATAAAAAGAAATTGAATTCACATGAGAATTAATATGGAATTACACCAATGAATTCTAAAATTTATCAAAATTTTATAGAATTTATAATGTGTAATTTATTTAATTTTATCAATTTTTTAGTTGAATAAATGTTACTTGTAAAAAATCTACCCAAATTTAGGCTTGAAAAATTGAAATATTATTAAGGAATATTTTTAAAATTTTTAGAAAATTTTTCTTAGGTTATGTTTGATATAAATATACGAATATTACGGATTTTTTTTTTAAAAAAAATTGTAATTAATTTAATTAGAAAACAATCCAACTTACATAATTATGATAAACCAAAAAAAAAAAAAAATCGTCTCATAAAATTCTACATTAAATTAAAACAATAAATTTCAATTTCTCAAAACTAATAGAATTTAAAATATATATTCTAATTTTACATAAATTTTATATGACATTAATTTTTTATTATTTTTTAAAAAATTATATGATTGATTCTGTATTTAAATAAGGTTCTATTAAGAATCAATATATTTTAATTAAAAAAAAAGATATTTTATCATAGAAAATTATTTTAATAATAATAACAAAGACAAAACTGTAAACCTCTTCAAAATAATTACAATAAGAGCTAGGAATTACTATTCAAAATGAGCAATTAGTTTCTAATTTCTGTTAAGAGCACTGATTAGTCTCCTCAAAGTTTCAACTTTTCAAGAACGAGGAAGTTTCTCTTCTCCCCCTACTATATATGTTACACACATATATATATATATATACACACACATATAAGAGAGTTCAGGTATATGATTTCCATATTTATGTGGAGTTAATTTTCCATTTTGGAATTTATTAAAAGAATGGGGATGATGAAGAAGGTGTTGATGAGTGTTATATACGTAAGTATAATAATTATGGGTTTTGGAGAGAGCTCCTACAATGGTGGTCTTGGCAATTATCATCGGGGTATTGCTTCCATCAAATCTTCTTTTCTTTCCCAAAATTCCCATACTTCTCCTTCTCCGTCGGTAAGTATACCAACAACTAATTATACAAATCTTTACAAATAAAAAATGGTTTACATTTTTTATCTTCTTCTGCAAATTGGATTTTCTTGGTTTTATCAGTATATATACATTACATGCATGTATATATGTTGAAGAAAGATATTTAAGTATTTAATTGCACCAATTTTATTTTTAAAAGTAATAAGGTTTGCATGTGATCCAGATATTACAACATACACGTATGTACCATCCAATCGATTATGGTGCAGATCCAACAGGAAAATCAGACAGTACTGATGCACTCAATCAAGCAATTTGGGATGCCTTCCAGTCAACAGTTAATGGTCAGTTGATGGAGGGTATAACTAATCTTGGAGGTTCTGAGCTTTTCCTTGATGGTGGAACATACAAGATTAGTCGTCCATTGCGTCTACCTGAGTTTGGTGGTGGGAATTTTATGGTACAACTCTCACCTTACAATCTTTTTTTGTGTGGTGATATATATATATATATATATTTATAGTAAGTCTTAATAATTGTGTTCCAGATTCATGGAGGAACACTAATTGCATCAAAAGATTTTCCTACTGATCGACATATGATTGAATTATGGGCATCATCAACTTCAATATTATATGAAGACATTACACTTAGGGATCTTATGGTGAATTGCAATTTGAGAGGTGGAGGCATTGCCATAATTAATTCATTAAGGACTTTCGTGGATAATTGTTATGTTTCACATTTTACTACTAATGCCATTTTTATCCAAGGAGGCCATGAATCCTACGTTAAAAACTCCTTCATCGGCCAGCACATCAATGCAGGGGGCGACCACCGTGAAAAACATTTCTCTGGCATCGGAATTAACATTGCTAGCAATGACAATGTGATCACCGATGTTGTGATTTTTTCAGCAGCTATCGGAATTTTGGTAACAGGTCAAGCAAATATACTTACAGGGGTGCACTGTTATAATAAGGCTACAGGATGGGGAGGCACGGGGATTTATGTTGCAGCACCAGGTTTTACCCAAAATCGAATTGTCAATTGTTATTTTGACTTCACTGGAATTGTGGTGGAGGATCCGGTGCAACTTCACATAACTGGCTCTTTCTTTCTTGGCAATGCATTCATTTTGATCAAATCAATAAAGGGAGTTATTAGCGGAGTCAACATCGTTGATAACATGTTTTCAGGCGATTATACTGGAATCGAAATAATTCAGTTGGATCAATCAAATCAATCCTTCACTAGAATTGATCAAGTGGTTATTGATAGAAATAATGTAAGAGGAATGGTGCTTAAATCAACTATTGCTAAGGGATCAGTATGGAGTAACGGAACCACTTGGACCATTGATTTTTCTAGAGTGCTATTATTTTCAAACTTAATCAAGAATGTGCATTATACACTTCATTCAACTTCTAAATTTCCTAATCACATTCTACGTAATATATCAAATAATTGTGTAACTGTCGAGTCTGATATGCCTATATCAGCTACCTTACACGTATACGTTGACCAGACAATGGTTGAATACATATAAAGTGGAGTTTGTAGATTTGACCAATAATGTATTGAATTAATTTGTTAAATATTATTTTTTAAAAAATTTTAAGTTATCACTTTCAGTTTTATAAATGTACCAAGTACAATAATGAGCTCGAACATTGTAATATGATTGAAATTAATAAAAGATTTTGTAAACATAAAATTAAACTAATGAAGAAAAAATATATATATTTTTTTCTATTTTAGATGTTTAAAGATTAGAAAAAGTGTTTTTTGGTTTAATTATTTCAAAGAAAAAAAAATTACCCATTTTATTGGGATAAATATTTTAATGTGACATATGCATGATTAAAAAGACAGGTGCTTTCTATCCCTACGTGGTTGATATTTTTACTTTTATTTTAATAAAGCTATGAATTATGTGTAAAATCTAGACATAAAAGCAATTAATTCATTCATTTTTTCTATTGACATTTAACCCTTATTTCTATAAAAATAGTATTCACAAAAAGGAAAAAAAATCTCAATCAACACCTACTTTTTGCTTTTCACGCCCAAAACATTACACTTTCAGTAAAAATTTATCAGAGTGATAAATAATATGTGACAGTCTGAACTCTCATTTAGAGTTCTAATCGTATGCGTACTATATCATGATAAAATAATCTATAGGAATACTTCGCGCAGCAAATTTAAAATAATAAAAAGTTCTTTCATTGCATATTTAGCTCAAAATATATTAGTATCTATAAAACATGTCTAAATTCTAAAATAAACACTCATAAAAAGAATGTTTAACATTAAGTACTATTCGAATTAAAATAAAAATTGAACGATCTCCTAACAAGTCCTTCACTATTCAGGAGTGGAATTATGGACAGTTTACAGTTTGCAGTACATAGTATTCAGTTCATAGTTTACAGCTTGCAGTACACAGTATTCAGTTCATAGTTCTTATCATTTTGTCACGTCTGACTAAAACTGTATCCACGGGTAGGGTTCACTACAGTCACATACCAAATGCTACACACACACCCACCCCTCGATGATACCAGTTAAATGGGTTTTCTAAATTTTTTTATTGTCTATCTATTTATTTTATCTCAGTAATAAATTTTTTAATTTTTATTATTTAATACATTTTATACCTATAACACGCATACTATAACCATTCATCACCATAGACTCTTCTGCCAATTCCTAATATACTCCCAATTACATAGCAACCAGTATATACACGAATTCAGTTACCAAAACATAACAAAATAATTCATCAATAATTTCAGTAGCGAACATAAATAAGAACACAACAATCAGTAGAAACATTCTGTCGAAATCATGTGCCTAATAACTAATTATTAAATATCACAGTTTTAATATCTTAGAAAGATTAAATTATATTTGTAAATATTTACGCACTTACTTGAATTTCATTTAAATCTTGCCCGTGAAATTATTCCCGATGTACAAGATCAGCATGTTACAGTGATATCCGTCTCGAGTTAGTAACGAGCTGGTTATCCCCTAATTT